CACGCGACAGCGACGGGCAATACACTCATGTCGATATATGAGGAGCAGGCTCTCTTGACTGACGAGGTTTCCGAAAATAGATGCACAGACTGGCAGTGGCAGTAGCAGGCAGGCAGGCAGGCAGGCAGGCAGGCAGGCAGGCAGGCAGCACGGGCACTGAGCACGGGCAAACGCGCAAGCTGGCAGGCGCTCTTTCCCCCCCCCTCTCTCTCTCTCTCTCTCTCGTCAGCGGCTCAGCCAATAGTCTTGGAGCAGGGGCCACGGCAGACGAGAAGCAGGCAGAGCAGAAGAGGCAAGCAAAGCACGAGACGAGACATGACAGGCAACGCAAGGCAACGCAAGGTAAGAAGGGCAGGCAAGGCAGGCAGAGCCGGCACCGCAGCCGATCCGCCCGTGCCTTCCCAAAAAGCTGGGCTGTTCCAGAGCTCCACCTTTCTCCCCTAGCGCCCAGAAGGTCCGCCCGACCGTGTCGCCTTCAGGCCCCCTCCCCGCCTGCCACCCGCCTGCCGCCCTCCCACAAAGTTTTTTCTCTCGCTGCCCCCGGCCCCCGCGGCCCTTTCTTTCCCTTTCCCTCCCTCCCTCCTTCCCACTCCCGTCCGGCCTGGCCACCCCTTTCGCCCCCTCGCCCCCCCGTTCATCGACCTGCTCGAGCACCAAAACATCACCACCTTGGTCCTCCGAAAGCCTCCCGGTTTTCGATAGCAGTGAAGCGCCGTCCCCCGAAACGACATTTGCCCTCGACTCTGTCCCGTCGCTGATTCTCGGCTTTTGGCTTCTTGCTCACTAGCAGGCCACCCAGCACAGCAAGCACCGGACCCTTCCGGGCCCTCATCCGGCACACGGGCGCACCTTCCTCCATCGCTCAGCTTGGTCCTCCCCCAACTCTTTCTTCCTCCAACTCACCTCAACCCAACTCAACTCACTTCACCTCATCGTCGCCATCCTCGAGACCACATCGATCGGGTCCTCGACGACGCTCCTGATCCTCCTCCCACCTTTCGCATTTTCTTCGTTTTCGCCGCACATCGCAGCCATGTCTTCCGGCGTGGTCCGCTCCACCGCCCTGAGGGCCGGCGGCGCCTGTGTGCGATGCCGCAAGGGCAAGACCAAGTGCGTCTACGAGAACGGTCGCGCTCCTTGCAAAAACTGCGCCAAGGGCATGCACGAATGCTATCTGCCATCCGAGTCGATGGGCGGCGCGTCGCCGGCTCGACACGCTTCGCATCGTCCCGCCAGGGAGAGTCTGCCTGCTGTGGGCGCCTCAAACCCCGACACGCGTGTCGCGAATCCGGCCGCCGTTACCTCGCGTCACGGTCAGGCCATTATCGCAGAGAAGTGAGTCTCTACTCTTTTTTTTTTTTCTTCTTTCCCTCTGCATCGATCATGCAATGGTCCGTTGCCTGCGCCTACGAAACATCCGAGCCGTCATTCCTACCCCCCATCTCGCACTCTCGTTGGGGATTCTTGTCCCTCGTGCTCCGTCATTCCCTCAAGACGGCCGCCCCCCGGGCTTGGCGACCCTAACCACCAACCTTACTGGCTCACCTTTCTCCCTTCCCAACGCCCTCCCCCACCCGGTCATCTGCCCATCTCCCATATCTCCCATGGCCCCACTCGGAGACTCATCCTCGGCCCGCCTTCATCTCATCCTCAACTCATCCCGTGCCAAGGCTAACCCCAACCCCCCCTCAACAGGCTCACGCCCGAACTCGTCCAGGAATGCGATCGTGTCATCTCCAAGACATATCCCGCCTGTGTCGTTTTTCCACAAGCCGACCTTTCTCGGTCAGCTGAAGACCTCGTCTATGGACCCGGCCCTAGTCTATGCTTCTTCTCACCCTGTGCCGCCCGGTAAGTTCTCCAACATGCGTGAAACCCACCTTTGGTCCCATTGACAGATTGGGACGGGCAGCTCCAGTG